TGTGTGTGTTTGTGTGTGTGTGTGTGTGTGTGTGTGTGTGTGTGTGTGTGTGTGTGTTAACCATTAAGCCACACCTCTATTGTGGCTACAGAGGTTTCTGGCAGTTCAGGTTGGATTGCAGGATCTATATGATTTCAAGTCAAGTTTTTCTTTCAAGTTGCAGACATGTTGATTGTATTGTATTCAGAGCCGGTTGCCCCAGCAAAGGAAATTAAAATGATTGAAATTGTTTTGCCTTCAATAGTTGCAAGCAAAAATACATAATTCAAAAGTTTGAGGTCAGTAATATATTTATATATATATATATATATATATATACACATACACCGTGCCGTGAAAAGGTTTTTGCCCCCTTCCTGGTTTTTTTTGTGCACATTTTTCACACTTAAAAGATTCAGATAATCAAACAGATTTTTATATTACACAAAGATAACCCAAGTAAATACAAAATGCAGTTTTGAAATAATGATTTCATTTGTTAAGGGAAAAAAGCTGTCCGAACCTGCCTGGCCCTACATGAAAAAGTAATTGCCCCCTAAATCTAATAACTGGTTGTGCCACCATTTGCAGTAACAACTGCAATCAAGCATTTGCGAAAACTGGCAATGAGTCTTTCACATCGCTGTGGATGAATTTTGGCCCACTCTTCTTTGCAGAATTGTTTTAATTCAGCCACATTGGAGGGTTTTCAAGCTTGAATGGACTTTTTAAGGTCATGCCACAGCATCTCAATCAGATTTAAGTACGGACTTTGATTTTGCCACTCCAAAACCTTAATTGTGTTTTTCTTGAGCCATTCAGAGGTAAACTTGCTGGTGTGTTTGGGATCATTGTCCTGCTGCATAACCCAAGTGCGCTTGAGCTTGAGGTCACAAACTGACGGCCGAACATTCTCCTTCAGGATTTTCTGATAGAGCGCAGAATTCATGGTTCCATCAATTATGGCAAGTCGTCCAGGTCCTGAAGCTGCAAAGCAGCCCCAGACCATCACACTACCACCACCATGTTTGACTCTTGGTATGATGTTCTTTTTATGAAATGCTGTGTTGGTTTTACGCCAGATGTAACGGGACACACACCTTCCAAAAAGTTCAACTTTTGTCTCATTAGTCCACAGAATATTTGCCCAAAAGTCTTGGGGATAATCAAGATATTTTTTGGCAAATGAGAGACGAGCCTTTGTGTTCTTTTTGGTCAGCAGTGGCTTTTGCCTTGGAACTCTCCCATGGATGCCGTTTTTGCCCAGTCTCTTTCTTATTGTTGAATCATGAACACTGACCTTAATTGAGGCAAGTAAGGTCTGCAGTTCTTTAGATGTTATTCTGGGTTCTTTTATGACCCCCTGGATGAGTTGTCGTTGCGCTCTTAGAGAAATTTTGGTAGGCCGGCCACTCCTGGGAAGGTTCACCACTGTTACAAGTTTTCTCCATTTGTGCATAATGGCTCTGAATGTGGTTCGCTGGAGTCCCAAAGCCTTAGAAATGGCTTTATAACGCTTTCCAGACTGATACATGTCAACTATTTTGTTTCTCTTCTATTCTTGAATTTCTTGAGATCGCGGCATGATGTGTTGCTCTTTAAGCATACTTCACTTTGTCAGACAGGTTCTATTTAAGTGATTTCTTGATTCAACAGGTCTGGCAGTAATCAGTAAATAGTAATAATATTTCACAATATAAGTTTTTACTGTATTTTCCAATTAATCAAAATGAATGCAGCTTTGGTTAGCAGGTATGTGTAAAAAATCTTATTGAATCCAAACTTCTGAATAATGTACAGCATGACCAGTGTAGTCTGATTCTTGAATGAATGACTCTGAGTCAGTTCTTTTTATTGAATTGGTCTAAAAGTCTCAAATCAGTCTTGAACACATAGGTTAATGTCTTTTTCTTTCACTCATCTCCAAATTGAGAAGAACCAAGAAATCGTATTGTATTAATGGTGACTGGTTTGTCTACATGACAGTATGTAGTTAACATACAGGGCCCTTTTGCAAAAACAATGAACACTGAACTCAGTGAAATGTGATTGATTAACATCATGTTAAGCAGCCAATGGGCACACAGATGACATATTAAATACAACACAGCTAAATTCAGTCTTGCAAAGGCAATATAATATCACTTTCATTAGATTTTCGTGCTGCCCATGCCTCATCCATTTCTTTGTTGCTGTGTGTTTGCATGTTGTAAAAGTTTGGCTCTGTTGGCAGAGTAATATTTAACGCTGCAAACCGAGCCCAGTTAGCACCCCGCATCTGTTGCTAGGCAACACGGCCTCTCTTCCCGGCTAAAGTTGGTGTGTAGATGTTGAGTGGCAGCACAGAGGGCAAGTCTCAACACCTTCACAAACACACAAACAATAGCATGAGAGAACTCATTAGGTAAAGTTGGGCAAACACCCTGAAGGAAGAGAAACAGGCATTTCCGATAGACAATTGAGCGCTGAGGTCAAAAAGGGAGATGTGTGTGTTGCTGATTATGTGAACGATGAACACGTAACACTTCTTGTTCACTGTATCAAGCTTCTTACCATTATGCCTCTTTTTCTCCCTTAGGCTGAGAATCTTTTACTGGATGCTGACATGAACATAAAGATCGCTGACTTTGGTTTCAGTAACGAGTTTACGGTGGGCAATAAACTGGACACGTTTTGCGGGAGCCCACCGTATGCCGCCCCTGAACTCTTCCAGGGCAAAAAGTATGACGGTCCAGAGGTGGATGTGTGGAGTCTAGGGGTCATACTTTACACGCTGGTCAGTGGCTCGCTGCCTTTTGATGGACAGAACCTGAAGGTGGGAGACACTGAATATCTGTCTTAATGTTCTTGTTTGTCTCTGTCCTTTTATGTTTCTTCATATGTACTGTATCATCCTCATTGTGTTTCTCTTCGTCTTATGCAGGAGTTGCGAGAGCGTGTTTTAAGAGGGAAATATAGGATTCCCTTCTACATGTCCACAGACTGTGAGAACCTGCTGAAGAAGTTTCTCATCCTCAATCCTACCAAGAGGGGAAGTTTGGAGGTGCGCTTGATTTAGACATGTATACACATCTGATATCTGTCTGCAAACTAAAATACAGGCCTTACATTTGAAGTAGCTTAAAGTATGAGTTTTCAATGTAAAATGTGAAAAAAACAGTAAAAACAGTACATTACTATGAACTTCTATATGCTGAGCCTGAAATCTAAAAAGTTGAAAGCTAAAACAGAAGACCTCCGGAGGCAGGGCAAACGTTGCAAGTTTTTGTTTACAGTAGCAAGTTGGCATGGCTACTGTTTTATTTGACAGCAATATGGCGGAAAAGGCATTTTGCAATGGTGCTTTTCTTTTTAAAACCATTCCTTAATTAATGGTCCTAATTAATTTCTACTACAAGTTTTTTTGCTTCTTTTGATTGATTGATACAATCTGTTACATTTACGTAATGCTTTATATTTTGCATTTAAACATGTGAATGACAAACTTATGTTTTGCTTTCATTCAGATAAGCAGATTTTTTGGCAAAAATTTGCACTTGAATTCATAGTATGGTTGCCTAAAAACACTTAAAGATATGGTTGTGTGATCCCTCACCATTCTCTGTCTGTGTATCTGCCGTTGGCTCAGCAGCAGATCATGAAGGATCGCTGGATGAATGTAGGTCATGAAGATGATGATCTGAAGCCTTACATTGAGCCCCAACCTGACTACAAAAACCCCAGGAGAACAGGTGTGTGTGATTCTCACACATTTGAAATAGTTTAGATGTTAAGAAAACGTAAGATTTGGGAGTGTTTAACAAAGGTATTGCAATGACATTGTGTGTATGTTGCCCATTTAGACATAATGCTTCAGATGGGTTTCAGTCAAGAGGAAATTGAGGAATCTCTCATCAAACAAAAATACAATGAAGTCATGGCAACCTACCTGCTGCTTGACTATAGGAATTCAGAGGTACACGCATACATAAACACACACACACATACTTCAATGCCCACAGAGGCAGCTAAATAATGATGAAACTTTTTGTTTGAAATTTCGGACTCGCAGCTTGACGAGGGTGTCAACTTGTCGCTAAAGCCACGCCCAGGAAGTGACCTCACTAACAGCAATGGCCCTTCTCCACCTCATATGGTACAGCGCAGTGTGTCATCCACTCAGAAACCGGTCAGAAGATCAACAGATCAGGGTGAGCGGATTGGGAGCGTTTGTGAATGAAGACCTTTATAAACACACAATCACACGTACTGTATGTTTGCCCTACATACTCTCTCTTCTTTGTCCCTCAGGCTCATACTCGAAACGGCCTCAGGGAGAAAACAAGCATAGAGTGGAGGATTCTGGGAGGAAAGGTTCAAGTAGCTCCACCAAAGTTCCACCCAGTCCAGTTACCTCCAGCGAACGCAAAAAGAGTTCCACACACTCTACTGTAAGTGTGTCTGTTTGGTTATATGTTTCTTAGAGAATTATTTATTCTTTAATTTTTTATATATTGTGTCTGAAAACTGATAAATGGAAAAATGTAATTTCTACATTATTTTGTGTAAATACACTACTAAACTAAAATCATTTTAAATGCTACAAGTGAAGTTATGCATTATGTACAGTATAAAAATATAATTTTTAATATATGCTTAAGATTACATTTAACACTGTTATTAAAAAAACTAATTGCCAAGTGTTAGGTGACAGCAAAGCCTAACTAAATATAAAAGTTGGATGGAAGAGAATGTACAATTAAATATCGCACCAGAGGTACACACATACCATTAGTTAGAAAAATAATACTTGTTCAACAGTATTTTGAGCTGTGGCATTCATGTATCCTTTCCCAATTCTCTGCCCCCTCTTGTCTTGTCACTGCCAAACACAGAAGTTTTTTCAATCTATAAAACACAATTATGCAAAAAAGGGAACTATATCAATTAGAGTATGTTTATCTATGCAGCGTGTTTGTTGATCTTTTACAAGCTAGGGCACTCAAGCTTATCAACAGAACTAATACAGTACCAAAGTCACGTCATGTTCTTTAGTTCAGTTTCCATGTACTTGAAGAACATGTAATTACATTATGGATTGAGGAAGGTTTTTTACACAATAGCAGGGTAATTTTTAAACATCTTAACTACTGCTTCTGTTCCCAGTTACACGAGGGTGCTCTGAAAAGCCTGCTGCTTTCCACACTGATATTTTTCATGCAGCAGATGGCTGGAAGGGCTTGCCCAGGGTTGAAGTGCACTCTCTGACCAAGAGATGTTTGGCACGTCCAAAACTCATGGCTTCTGCTCAAGTTATTTCTGTGAAAATGCTACAGTGGATGCTATTTTGAGCTTTAACACAGCACATCAAACTGGAGTTTCTAGGTTTGCACATCTTTAGATAGTGTGCCTTTTCCCTTTGTTTTTAAAGTGCAAATACTATTGTATGAATAGGCCCTGTCTGAGTACTAACCAAGTAGTAGCTCTACCACAAGTTAGATGAGAGAGCAAACATTTTCATACCTTGAGCAATAGACAAAAATGTTTTTTGTTTCTAGTTTGTCATTCACCCAGGGTTCGTACCAGGGCTGTCCTTTGTATGGTTCATAGCATGATTCATTTAATCACTCCTAGCCCAAACTTGGATTACTGTTGCAGTTCCAGAACTAATACATGCAAATGTGCATTTGTCAGAAAAATCTAGTAAAGAGATTATAGAAATTTAAGCTGCAGTGTGTAACTTTTGGTTCTCTAGCGGTTAATAAACAGAACTGCGTGCGTCTTGCGTAAGAACATTGTAGTCGGAGCTACTTCTCTCTGTTTATGTCTATGACAAATCACGCAGAAACTGGGCTACTCTGCAGTGGTTCCTACCAGAACCAGTCTGAAGTAGTATGAATATAAAAACTCATTATAAGTGTACTGTAGTGATTCAGGATAAGCCAAAAACACAGTTTGGAAAATGGATTCATGATGTTCTCACGTATTATATAAATTTTGTACATTTTGAACACAAAAAGTTACGGACTGCCGCTTTAAGGAATATTATTATAGAAATTATGGAAATATATTATAGAAATTGTAAATATGATTTAATATCACTTGTAATAATAGTAAAATTTATAATTATTTATTACTATTATTATTATTAAAACAATAATTCAATTTTAGCTTTAATTTATTTTTAGTAAGTTTTAGTACTTTAAATTCAATTAAAGTTTATTAGTATACTGCTTTTTTAAGATACAAATCGTTGCAAAGCAGCTTTACAGAAAATTTACGTTTCTATTTTAAAGTTTCTACATTATATTTAGTAGTAGCTTATCAGTGGTGACTATGTCAAGTTGATGTCCATATGGAAGAAATGTACAGTAAAATTCATGCAGTTAGTTAATGACAGACGGTGAACACTAATAACTGCAGTGATTATATGTTGCGATTAAACTTATAGCAAAATGTGGTAGTTTTGTATGTTGTTTGAGGGTTGGCATCATCTGAGGTCCTCTGAGGAAGATCTAAATGTATTTTATTTCACTTAGTTGCCAAGGCTGCATTTTCTCGTTGTTGTTTACATTTTTTGTAAGTTTATTTTTCATCTAATATTTATATTTTATTTTTATTTCAGCCTTATTTCAGTTTACAAAAACAGTTATTAATAGTTCTAGGGCAGCGGTTTTCAATTCCAGTCCTCGTGATTGACAGGATATTACACCATGATTCCAGTTCGAAGCGAGCATATATGTTCCATTCAAAGGGCATTAAAGTGCGCGAGATGTGAATATAAATAGTATTTATTTACAGAGGTATATTATGTCACACTCCACGCTTCTCTAGTAAGTTTTGTCTGTGTGTGAAGATGCTGCAGGCCACGGTGTAGCACAAATCCATGAATGAATGTTCCGAAGTGAAGTTAACCTCAACAGATTTCCCCTGCTCAGGGAGTAGGGAGCAATGAACACTGTGTAGGGACCATGTCAGTCAGAACACAGTTCTCTTCTAACGAGCTGATGATCTGAATCGGGTTTGTTAAACAAGAGAGACATGCAAAATATGCGGAGCGGTTTTTAAGGCATCTTTACATAGTTGAGTTAGGGCTGCTTTATGCCTGCTTAAAATTCGGTGTAAAGACATAAGCCTGACTAAATAATGCCAGCTGTGACCCACGCCAGTCCCTAGTTTCAAAGTATGTTGTTATCATTGCTGTGTAAATGCATTTATGCCATTTCCGAGCAGCTTTAGACCTTCTGTGTGAAGACACCTAAATGCCACTTCAAAAGTACTTCTCTGAAACCTTTGCAGTGTAAATTTGGCATTAGTTAACAGTAACAACATTGGTTTGCACCTGTGTGTGTGTTTGTGATTTCAGAATAGTATCCTGTCCACGGGCACAAGCCGCAGCAGAAATTCCCCCGTTTCTGAGAGAGACACTCTAGGAGTGCAAAACGGCAAGGACAGGTACACCCAAAGACACATGCATCTGTTGAAAGAGTGTAAATCTCAAAAAAGGCAAAGTACAGAAAAACACTTACCGTTCTCTTACTGTCACACACACGTATACGGGCACAGTTCATCCCTCTAGATAAGATCACTAACAACACCAGTCACCATATACACACACACACACACACACACACACACACACACAGTCTACTTCTATCTCCTGTCTCTATGCTGTTGGCCGTTACCTGCCATGGAGCCCAGACTGGCGTGCTTTTGATTTCCAGAAAGGCTAAATTGTGCCAGATTGGCATACTTCATCCTGGGTTTCAGCCAGATTAGTGATGCCTAGAGAACCATCTCATTCAGACCCACACACTCATTTACAGAGAAAGATATCCATCACCAGAGTATTCTTTTGAAAACCTTTTAGATGCCTTAATTGGTAAAATCCCAGTCACACGTGCATGCATTAAAGCATCATCTAAACCCCATATAAACCTCCCACCATCATCGGCGACAAACACTAAGTCAGTCATCCTTCACTTCCTGTGCACCACTAACCATTCATGCATCATAACTGCTCCTTCTCCAACATTCATATTGCTGCTTATGCTCACATTCCACACACTCCAGTGTCTTCACTATATCAATTATGCATAAGCATATGCATGAGATGTATTTTTAAAAATGGAGATAGAGCTTTCTGCCTACTGGAGTCTTGTTGCATGAAGATGATGTCTTCTGTGCTACCAAAGTGTTGAATGATGACCATCAGATGCTTTAATTATGGTCAAATCGATGTGCATGTACCTTGTAGTTTAAAAATTGTTCATTGGTTAATCAACTGAGACAAAACATATCTGTGGGAATTTGAACTCTGAATGTGCACTTATGCTCTGTCAACAAGTGTCAGTTCCAGTGCAGAAAGCCCTATGCCGTTAGTAATAATGAAGGCTTGTTCAGACCAAGTATAAATATACAGGGATGATAAGATTTCAAAAGGAACCAATGCATTTCTATGAACTCCTTTGTACCAAGCTCTGAATAACATACCGTATGGATAATTTGTTGTACTTTTATCATCATTATTATTATTAGTGTCATTATTTGTTTATGGTTCTGATGAAGAAAACAAACTCTCAGACAAATAAGATTTTAGATCTTAGGTCATGTGATGTAGATTTTAGGTCATGTGTCAGGAACTGACCTATCAGTAAACGACCGAGTAAGATTTGATTTTGATAACAGAAGCTTGCAGTTTTTGCAGAGCTACTTAGATACACACAGAATAACAAAAATAACACAATACTAAAATACCACATACTGTTAAAATGTTTGGGGTCAGTAACATTTTTTAAGAAATCAATGCTTTTATTCACATGCAATGTTACAGTAAAGACGTGATGTTACAAAATACTTTCAATTATAGACAAGTTCTCTTGAACTTTGTATTTACCAAAGAATACTGAAAAAGGTCTTTATGGTTTGATATGTTTTCTTAAGCAAGCATCAAATCAGCATATTAGAATGGTTTCTGAATTATCGTGACACTGAAGACTGGAGTAATGACTGATGAAAATTCAGCTTTGCCATCGCAAGAGTAATGACATTTTTAAATATATTGAAATAGGAAACCGTTATTATAAATTGTAATATTATTTCACAATATAAATATTTTGCTGTATTTTAGATCAAGTAATTAAAAAAATCTTACGGACTCCAGACAGAAGTGTATATACAGAACAGTTGCTATATACAAGAGAATATGTGTTTGTACATAAAGTAAGATAAATTATGGCATAGGAGCAGGATTGGAGAAGACTACTGTATATTCACAGTAGTACTGTGGGTCACATTGACCAGAATATATATTTTTTTCCTTTCAACTTTCATCATTGGACTTGATGTGAATGGTTTTGGTGCAAGGAGTTGTTATACTTTCTCTCATTCTCTCAATTCTCTCATAATTTACTCACCCTCATGCCGACCCAGATGTATATGACTTTCTTTCCCAAAGCTGATGCTTCAAAAACCACACCAAATGAACATGAAGGTAATCCACACGGCCCCAGTTATTGAATCAATGTCTGAAGTAAAACAATAGGTATAAGAAAAATAATATTATTAATATTATTATTTTTAAACTATAACCTATCACTTCTGGCCAACTGTCATATGTCTTGTTCTGAGGCAGGGGTCCTGTACACTTTCATTATTTGGAGAAATATTGAGTATTTTTAGAAAAATCTTTGTGTATGTCTAAACAAAAGTAAGTCATAAGTCCTGTGGGATGACATAAGGGTGAGTAAATGATGAGATATTTTTTTGTTTTTGAGTATCACTTGAACTTGGTGTGAACAAGCCTTTAACTGTTGTTATTAGAGCTGTGCTCTGCTACTGTAGTTGTCTATGGGTGTGTAAGTATGTTATGATAACACTAATGAATTGAGAAAGACCCCATGAATTCAAATGATGGTTTTTTGAATAAGAACATCATCCGTTCCTAACATCAACTTTTGAATAGCAATAGCAAGTAGCAATCATGTGATGTATACAAAAGGCTATTTAAAAAAGGCCTGCGCTATGTCACGCCCCAACGTCCTGTTTAAGTAACTAATGTTTCGACAGGAAAGAAAACTGTTTCCATCAAACGATTTCATGGGGTCTTTAAGAGTTATAACCTTTTGTCCTTTTAATGCTACTGCAGGTTTTGTTGATTTGCCTGTGTGTTTTCTCATGAGCTTATCTGAAGGCATTCAGACAGTGTGTCGGGTTAAATATTCCCCACACATCCCTCTTTCTTTTCCATTTCTTTCTCTCTCTCTCCTGGATCATTTGTCTTTGAACACTCATTTTGTTTTTCTTCTGTCTGCGTTGTGAGTGTGTGTGACTTTGTATGTCTTTGTTAGTGTATGTATAGCTTTAAATGGATTAGGGTGGCTTGTGATGGAAAAAAGCACCATTAACACTGTTGTAAGGTTGCTGTAGTCGTCTGTAATAGGCTTAGCTTCTCTCTGCCACATAGCAAGGTGATAGCATGTTATTTCTCCACTACAAGCTCAAATAATCCCTGCATAGTGGCATGTGGTTGTGTGTGTGTGTTTCTTTTGTGCTTTTCTGTGAAATCAGCACTCTGTTTGACCTCTTTCTCTCTCCCTCCATCTCCCCCTTCTCTCTCCTGTACCATTCACCACTGTCTCTCACTTCAGATGCCCAGATCTATCTATCTATCTATCTATCTATCTATCTATCTATCTATCTATCTATCTATCTATCTATCTATCTATCTATCTATCTGTCTATCTGTCTATCTGTCTGTCTGTCTGTCTGTCTGTCTGTCTATCTATTTATCTGTCTGTCTGTCTATTGATCTATCTATAGGTCTGTCTTGGTGTCTGTTTGTCTTAAACCCCAAGTATACCTCGTATCTATCTATCTATCTATCTATCTATCTATCTATCTATCTATCTATCTATCTGTCTATCTGTCTATCTGTCTGTCTGTCTGTCTATATCTATTTATCTGTCTGTCTGTCTATTGATCTATCTATAGGTCTGTCTTGGTGTCTGTTTGTCTTAAACCCCAAGTATACTTCGTTTTTGTAGCCTTACATTTGAACGCGTAGCTTTTCAAAGTATACTTCATTTGATGCTGTGCGCGAACGCTGGAAGTCGACACATGAGCTCATAAAAGGACATGCACTCTAGAAATATGTCTGTCTGTCTGTCTGTCTATCTATTTATCTGTCTGTCTGTCTATTGATCTATCTATAGGTCTGTCTTGGTGTCTGTTTGTCTTAAACCCCAAGTATACCTCGTTTTTGTAGCCTTACATTTGAACGCGTAGCTTTTCAAAGTATACTTCATTTGATGCTGTGCGCGAACGCTGGAAGTCGACACATGAGCTCATAAAAGGACATGCGCTCTAGAAAGCTTCATCCATGTCCAGTGTCTGCTCTGTTCTTCACCGTTAAGTTATGACCGATAACAAATATTTTTGAAGTCTTTTTAACCAAAGCTGAGCTGTCTCATACCCTCTGCGCATACAAAATACAAAAATCAGGTGGTGCGAGTACAGTACGCACGTACTGTTCTGATGACTAAATTTGCGTCATGCGCACTGTACGCTGTCCCTCACGTACGCATAAATAGTGAAGTATACTTTGGGCTTTACACTGTATTCTGTCAATCTATTGCTCTGTCGTCCTGTCTATTGCTCTGTTTATCACTCTATCATTCTATCCATTTATCTCTCTGTTGCTATAACTGTCGATCTCTCATCTATCTATTGCTCTAACCATATATGTTCATCTATTGTCTGTTGGTCTGTAAATTGGTCTGTCTGTCTTCATCATTCTCTCTAATGTGTGCAAAGTGTTGTTTCTAATGGAATGCATCTCCCTCCCTCCATGCCTCCACACATATGTACACACTCGTGTTTATGTGTGTGTCGATTTGTGCGTGTGTGTACGGAGGGGCCGCTCTCTCTCTACCCTCAGCCTAAACACGCCCGGGTCCCGTGCCTCCACGGCCTCGGCCGGCGCCGTGCTCTCCTCATCCTCTTCCTCACGCACCCGCCATCACAAGTCCCTCTCTACCTCCGCCCATCCCTGCCCCGCAGACCTGCACTCACACCGGCCCAGGCAAGTCCCCACGCCAACAGGAAACCAGTCATGTCAACTACTGAATAGTGTCACATAAAGTGATGAAATATGGGAACTGTAGCATGTCTCAGGGGGTTTCTGCATTCTTAGAAATCATTTACTTGGCAGGGAAAGAGATTGCAGGAAGTCAGGGGATGACAAAAGTCGACAGAGTCAACACTGGGAGATGGCTGTGATACAAGACTAAAACAAGACACATTTTTATATCCCTTCTGAAAAGACCAGCATATGTTTTGGCTTTTACTCTACGGTTGTGTCCAGGCTTCTTCACTAGTAGGGGAAAAGATAGTTCAGCCAAAAATTAAATATCATAATTTACTCACCCTTGTATCATTCCTTATCTGTATGACTTACTTTCTTCTGTGGTACACAAAATATGGTATTTTGGAAAATGTGCTATTTTGTTCGTACAATGAAAGTCAGAGTTCTTTTGGACCTCACTGACTTAAACTGTATGGACAAAAAGGAAAGTCATACAGGTTTGGAACAACATCAGGCTCATCCAGAAAAATCACACTAGAATTTTCAGTTTGAATTAACTACTTCAAACCAGCAAGACTTTCTTGGTCAACCAGTTTCACTGGGAAAAAGAAACATGTAGCAATGTCTGTCATATACCAGCTTGGACCACAACACTCTTTTTTTTCAGAAGGGATTTCAGGAACAAATAAGAAATAATATTATTTATTACAGCTTCCATGGAGTGATGAGTGGTTGTTAGGATAGGATGTGAACGGCGTTACCTGGCAGTGTTGCTGAATTAAAATAATGCTACACAGACCCCACTTCACTTTATAGTTAATCGTGCTCCCTCCTTCTTTTAAACATTGTCTCCTATCCTCTCTTGACCATCACTGTAAGGCCACTAACAACAACCGCATATTCACACTAAACACTGACCACACCAGGAACACACCATCATTTATAGCGCTGCAGCTAAGGCAGCGTGGAGTGTGAGTGGTTCAAATAGCCTGTCAGTGCTGTTGTAAGTGAATGGCTGGTCTGTTGCATGCAGTGAGCTGAGCCTCTTCCGAGCATGGTTGGGGACCACTGAGAGAAGGTACTGCTGCCCTGTTATATCGTCTCTCTCACTCCTCTGTACTTCTCTGCCCCCTGTGCACGGTCTCCCCTCTGGAGTGAAATGTACCTCAGTGCAAGGGCCATATATTCAGATCTGTGCACTGTATATATGAGTGAGTGAGTGAGGGGCCATGTACAGCACATAGTGTGGCTTATTCTGTCGCTCAATATCCTTTCACGCGACTCATGTCAGGACACAAGTGTTGACTTTCACAAGTGCTACAAATAGCAAACAGGAAGGGAGATTTTACAAGGTTTAACTGAAAATAGTGACAGCAAACGGAAGAAAAACATAGAACTGATGTAGCAATGGCAAGCTCATGGGTTTGATTCCCAGGGAATGCTTAAATGTGAATGCAGAAAGAAAAATGAGTTCATGAAACTGTCTCGGGACACTTTTAGCTGCCACTGGATCAATCCCTCTTATATCTTATGATTATGAAAAGTCAGAGTCTAATCAAACTTTTCAACAATTTACGTGAGTCTAACCTGGTGTCGATGGTAACACTGTAGTTTGATGCTTTGCTGCCAAGAAAACCATCAACATGAGTCACGTGCAAGGGCCTTTGACAACTTAGGACTGTGTGGTTTGCCACTATGAAAATCTCTGCTTCAAGAGAGAATATAAATGGAATATGTGAATAATACTATATGCATGTCGCATCATACATGTTTCATGTGTGTTCCGACATGTCAAAAATGCAGATGTGTTTTCCCAGTGGCATGGGTTTGGTTCTTAAGCTCCTGCTCATATCTGCTTGGGTGAGTGCTTGTATTAAATTTTTACTTCTTAACATTTAGCTGTGTGCCATATTTAACATACTACAGTGTTATCATGGGAACATCTGAGTCCCTTGCTAAGGTGTTGTGTTTGTGTGTATTAGTTTGCACAGTCAGAGTTAGTCAATTAATTTTTCCCCAAATCTGCCCCTGAGTATTCTTGCTCCATGGTAAAGTGATAGAGTTGGACACTCCCAGTGATGTGCAGTCTTTCAGGCCCCCGGTTTAATCCATCATGAAGTGTTAGTGATGACCTGCTGTGAACGTTTGTGTAAAGAGGGTTTGAGAAGGACATTTTTAGCCACTCTATTGAGGTCATACCTGGATCTGCAAAAGGTAAGTGATTGTGGTGCTGCCAAAATGTTTTTAAAAAAAAAAAGTTAAATGTAAAAAGAAAACGGCTCAATTGAGGTGAAAAAGTGAGAGAAATTGAGTCAGTGGCATTGTAAATGCTGATCCCCAGTAACCAACTGATTTGTTTTACTCAGTCAACATGAAATGATGCATACAACCCATTTTACTTGCATAATATGATGCATTTCAGGATGAATCAGAGTATTCAAAGATAAAATTGTCAATCGGGACTTGATTTTATCCATCCGGAATTACTGTGGTCCTAAAATTCCTGCTTTATGATTTTATTTAATTTTATTTTATTCAGTATATTTGTCTTTAGAATAACATCCAAAGAAAAAAAACCTTGTGCAATAAGACAAGAAAAGTAAATGGTGTGGAATTTGATTTCATGTTGGCTGTAAAAAAAATCTTTAAAGGTTTTTACTTTCCACAAGTGGAGACGTGTGTGCAACCTTGTCAGATCAGGAGCTATAAACATGTCCCTAAATGAGATGATAATGTGGTTTCTGTTTATAGAGCAGATCATAGTTTGTTATTCCAAACACAGCTATGTTTCTGAGAAGGGTCCAGCATACTTCACTTCCTGGCTGAAGTGGATGGACAGTGTTTGTGATCTAGCTTTGGCGGGTTCAGTTACCCAGAGTCATGTGACCTCCCTGGCGGTGCTTGTGCCGGTTGGCGACTGGTTCTGGCTAGGTTCTACTACACTGGTTGGCACTTAAACAGATGTTGGCGTGGACCTGACATGGTTGGGTGAGATTTTCACAGACAGTGCGCAGAAAGGACAGCTATGGGGGAGGTGTGCTGCTTCACTACACATGCTTGGTTGGACACACTAACTCGCACACAAATTACAGTTCACAAGTTTCACAATATCCCTGATCTGTGTGTGTGTGCGCATTTTGTGACAAATAAGGACATAAATTTGTATAATGACAAAGGTATGACATAGGTATTACAAGGAGAAGGTGACTTTTCAGGACATTACCCCATGTCCCCACTTTTCAAAACGCTTATAAATCACAGAATGGAGTGTATTGAAAATCTGAAATAGCACAAAGTTTCCTGTAAGGGGTAGGGTTGGTGTAGGGCAATAGAATATACGGTCTGTACAGTAATAAAACCATTACGCCTATGGGATGTCCCCACTTTTCACAAAAACAAACCTGTGTGTGTGTGTTGGATTAAAAGTCTATGCATTGGGCCAGAGATATGTCTGTGTTCTCTTCTCTGCAGTCGACGTATTTTATTATTTTGAGATTACATAATAAAAGTATTTGAGCACTGCAAGAGCCAGAACAGAGCTCCTGATACTTTAACGATTGGTTTACCATAATTTAAATCTGTATTTTTGAAGTTAAACATGATTTTATGGAGGTTGTTTTATGAATGCATAAATCAAATGTTTTTCATATGTACAAAGCAGGTTTGAAACACCCATTATCTGCTATTCTTTCTGCAGACATAAATAGTGAAAATCAACCTTCCATGCCCATATTACATTTTTTTTTATAAAGCGTAAGCTAAAAAATTAAATACATTTTAAAACCTTCATTAAAGATAACATTTTAATGAAGGTTTTAAAATGTATTAATTTTTTTAGTTTACACTTTATTTTACAGTGTCATTGTTACAGTGTAATTTTATATTTAAGTACCGAGTTATATTAACATGTTCCTATGCATATAATTATGCATAATTTATTGTAACATGACGTGCAACAAGGACACTTTAAAATAAATGGTTAGCTATTTTTTTTTTAAATAATGTCCATTTTATTTAAATGGAAAACATTTAAAATGCATTTAAATATTTATTGAAATCACTTTTATTAAAAAAAAAAAAAAAAAGAAAGTAAATATACATCTTTAAATGCTGATGCTACCATGTCCTCATCTTTCTTTCCTTTTCTTTGGGGAAAAATGGCTTTGTCACAGTGATCCCCCACAGAGAGCACCTGGTGCTTCCCCATCAGCCCACAATATCAGCAGCGCAGCTGGGACGGACCGTACCAATTTCCCTAGAGGGGTGCCCACCCGCAACACCTTCCACCTCGGCCAGCAGCGAGGTGCACGGGACCAACAGGGTTCTCCTTACCACGGAGCCCCCGCCTCCCCTTCTCTCTCCCACGACAACAGCCAACAACGACGACCCGCGGCTTCCGGCATCTTCAGCAAGTTCACCTCCAAGTTTGTGCGCAGGTGAGATAGACAACAAGTGTTGGATAAATCAGTAGATTGACATGGAGCTGAAGCAATGACAGGGGAAGTCACTGATTTCAGGAGGTGCTAACAGCCCGAGAAGCCCGATTGTGGCTGAGCGTGGTGGTGTGCGGATGAGTGAGATGAATGCCGGGTATTTTCATCAGTTAAAGATAGACTAGGTGATGATGAAAAATAACAGAAAGAGACTTGAAGACAAGCGAACACATTCTCACACCTCCTGCTGAGGGTTATTACATAGGTGTCTGTCATTATATTAAGTTAGTTTGCTGGTTGGTTGTCCGTCTGTGATCAAACAGCTTCACAAGTGGATTTGTTCTTGCAAAACGCCGGCACACGCAATCGCAATGTTCAACAGAGTCTTGGGTATTGTCATCATTTCACCCGCAAGGTCAGGCCTTCATAAGGCAATCAAAGTGCTGTCACTACCCATAATCCCAACATGAATCTCGGCTCATTTAAACATGCAGATTTCTCATCAGTTTCATCATCTCTGTCTCCAAGTTCCAGCACACATATCTACCTTGTCCGCACCTCCATGGCGACAGTATCCTTGGTAACAGCTGAGGTATTGCATTCCCCTGCTCTATAAATACTTGTGGAGGGGACACCTTGGCATCCACTCTCTAGTGCCAGTTTACAAAAAACTTCCGGCTTACATTGTGCTGTATTGCTTCTTCAAAAGCACAAAACTCATGTTTAAACTGCTAGATGAAAAATCTCAGTTGCACTTTGAGGAACATAAGAACACCTTCATATTCAGTATTATTCTTTCATTTCTGTTCAGTCTCAGATTTCAAAGGAAAGGGTGAAATGACAGATGGCATTTTGTCCGTGTGTATCTGTCTGTTTGTTTTTGTGTCCTTTTGTGTATACGTTCAAGCCAGTGTGGGAATGGTTCGCCACGAACAAGATGTGTGCGTTTTAATAAATGAATGTAAACATCTTTTCTTACGGTCAACATGAAATGACATTCACAACCCGTTTTACTTCTGAAATATGATATTTTTCTAAATGAAACTGAATATTAGTAAAAAATGGGCATTAAATGCCAAAATGGGGCCAGGCATGTATGTGAGCATCTGGTTATACCTTAATGGTAATGCCTCTGTTTCAGTTTTATTGTTGAATATAGGTAATATGTGCAACTTTTATTACACTACCATTCAAATGTTTGGGGTAATTATGATTCTTGAGGAGCATATCCGAATGATTTCTGAATTATCACGTGATACTGAAGACTGAAGCAATGGCTGCTGAAAATTCAGCTTTGCCATCACAGGAATAAATGACATTTTAAAATATATTAAAATAGAACACAGTTATTTTAAATTGTAATAGTATTAAACTATTAACCAGTATTAAAAATACAGAGTATTAAAATATTACTGTATTATTAAACACATAACTGCAGCCTTCTTGTGCATAAGAGACTTCTCAAAAACAATAAAAATCTTACCAACCTCAAACTTTCTGAATGGTAGTGTATATTAATGTAATATGCCTTGAAATTACCAGCTAGATTATTTTATTGAAAAGGTTGCATTATCTACAACAGTATGTCTGAAACAGTAACTACTGGCTATTGGTTAATGTTATTTTCACCCCCTGAGTGGCCTATGCCAGTCATGAAGGTTAGTCATTTCAGAGGTGGAGCTAAATGATGAAAAGTTACGAAGACAATTTATTTTTCTTTAGTGTCATTTGCAATGATTAACTGTGCACATGTACTAAATTTCCAGTCTTATTGTGCCATGAATTAAGTAAATTGGGTCAGTTTTGATTTCATGTTGGCTTTAACAATACTTCAGGTTAGGCGGTTTAGCTCTACTTAGTTTGTGTAAGCATTCCAACCCTTTTATGCGTGTTAATAATTAACTTTAATAGTTTAATTGCATGCAGTGACCCAGATTACTAATGTTATTTGCTCATTCTGTACAGTTTAAACCGATAACCCCAGACTGATTGTTACTGTGTCCAGGGCAACCCGACCACTTTATGACATTTTCATTTGCCTTTTTGCTCTTCAATTTACATACATACATTTCTTTCCTTTTTTTTCTTCTTTTTTCTTTTGCTTTTGTTTTGTAGAAATCTGTCACTCAGATTCCCCAGAAGGTAGGCAACGATGACCCTAACCCCCCTTTGTTTAATGCTTGTTTTGACCTTTTTATTTCTCTTTCCCTGTTCCTTGTCTACATCCCTCAGTGTGTTCTGTGATTGGCCTTTTTTTTCCTGGTTTATTTTGTGTGCAGTGTCATGACCAGCACTAACGACCAACTTCAGCCCTAAAAAAACCACCGTCCTCAACTTTCCACAGTAACACCCAGTGCCTTTCCTCCCCGTCTCCATCCTTTTATTTCCCCTCCCTGTCAGTTTATCTGGTGACCTCACCTGTGTGTCCCAGATTCTGTGTGTGACTAGTGTCTCTGCCTGCTCGAATAACACAGGGCTTTGATAACAGGACCTGATGTCAAAATTAAGACGGCTAAAAGGATATGGTGTCATGGAAAAATAAATCCACAAGCACAGTTACTTGCATACACTATTGTTCAAAAGTTTTGGGTCTGTATGGGTTTTTGAAATAAGGCTTTATTCAACAAGGATGCATAAAATTGATCAAATGTGACAGTAAAGATATTTGTAGTCTTACAAAAAATTTCTATACTGCTGTTTATTTTAACTTTATATTCACCAAAAGATCCTGTAAAAAAAAAAAAAAGATCACGGTTACCATAAAAATATGAATGTTTCTTGAGCACCAAATCAGCATATTAGAATGATTTCTAAAGCATCATGTGAAACTGAAGCCTGGAGTTATGGCTGCTTTCTATTAGAAAGTATATTCTAATAGAAAACATTGTAATAATATTATATTTTATTTGATCAAAGATTTTGATCAAATAATTGCAGCCTTGGTGAGCATAAGAGACTTTTGAATGCTAGTGTATGTCGCAATTGTTTTGGCACAGGTCGTTTACACCATGTCTTCCTCATTTTGGCTCATAGAGGAAGTCATCGCTTGAATAACTGAGCAAAAAATTATGATCATCTAAATGTCACTTCTAGAAAGTATGTTGTTATGCTAAAGGCAGGCTGCCATTGTAAAGATAAATGTTAATATCAGGTATTTTTTGAGCTGGAAATGTAAAAGGAAAAAGGTTAAAGGATTAGAAAGACTGATGGATGAAGAATGGTTATCTTGTGCAGAATGTCTTCAGAAGCGTTTCCTCTCTCTTTCTTTCACTTGCTCATTAACAATGACAACAGCTACAGAAGCTGAGACCGGCCAGCTGTCAGGCTTTGTCCTGCTCAAACACCTAAAACCAAACTTTCCCCATCGCACTGCTCTCTCTCTCTATTTATGCGGCATTGTCAGAATCTGTTTTGACTGATGACTCACTCACAGGCACCTGGCGAATGGACGTCACCATCTGTCTGAAGTCACTAACCACTTGGGCCACTGGCACAAAAACATGGAGTTTGAATTAACAAAGACATTTTCTTCCACTGACACGATTATGTTGATAACCTGTGTTCATGTTTTAGGAACTGAAGTGATGCGAGGTGCTTATATCGTTTTAGAGACCAGCAGAGGGCGTAAGCGAGCAGTTTATTAAAGGAACTGTATGTCTTTGCGCCCTCTGGTGGTCAAACCTGAAGCCTGTATTTTGTGATTCATGTCTTTTGGTGACCAACTGTTCTTTGCAGGATTCGTCAAAAGTAATGGCTCGTGTTTCTTTCAGTGCTTAAACAGCTCAAATGCTGCTTTGCTCGTTTTTTTAACCATTTGTTATGACGCACTAACAAAGTCCTGAGCTGTTTCTTTCATTGTCTCACTGTCTGTCCACGTGACTGAGTTGGTGTGTTTCTGTCTTCTGTGTGGCGTTTTTTTTAATGTGACTCTTAGCATAAGGGCTCTGACGGTATTGTCAGTTTGCTAAGGGGCTGTTTGTCTGTTTGTGTGTCTGGTGGCGTGTTCGGGATGCTTGTGTGCTCGGCCAGACAGACTATAGGGGCAGGTGACTGTTGGATGCGAGTAGTTACCATGGTGATGGGGCTCTGTAGAATCCTTAAGAGCGTCTTGGACAGACCTGCATCATTCCACCCCACTTCATGTTACTGAAGCAGTCTGTCTGATTCATCTGTTCATTGGCATTACACAT